GCGAGGAGGAGGAGGGCCGAGGGCGAGAAGGAGCCAGGAGGGGCCGCGAAGGAGGAGAGGGCGGAGGCCTACCCCGGGGCGGGGAGCACCGAGAAGGAGGAGGAGGAGGAGGAGGAGGAGGCAGGTGGCGAGGAGGCGCCGGGAGAGGCTGAGGAGGAAGACGAGGCTGAGGAGGAGGAGTGAAGAGGGCGGCTGGGGTTGGCTCGGCAGGCGGCGGCGGGGACGGCGGGAGAGACGCCGGGACTGACCATGGACTGACCCGTCGTGTCAGAGTGGCGGACTGGGGGGGAGTGGGCGGCGCCGGTGGCGGCAGAGGTGGCGATAGGGGGGCGGCCGGGGTGGATTCGGCAGGCGGCGACGACGACGGCGGCGGAAAGTAAGCCGGGCCTCACCATGGAGGGTGAGATCGTGGCGGGGCGGAGGGCGGGGGCTGGGGGCGCTGCGTCGGAAGCGGCAGTGGTGGCGTGAGGAGGGGGCTGGGGTGGATTCGGCAAGTGGCGAATGCTGGGGCAGCGGCTCGGGAGGGGGAGCGTCGGGCAGCGCCCGGGCGGAGGATGGGCTGGCATCCCCCGAAATCCAGACTGGCGGGGGCGGCGGTGGGGGCGTGGCGGCGGGCAGACGGGCGGCACTGGACCTTCGCCTGGCGCCGCGCTGAGCGCGGGCACCGGGGGTGCGCGTGCGGAGGGGGGGCGGAGCGAGGAGTCAAAAAAACAATCGGCGTGGGTAGTAGCTTGCTGCGTAGGAGGAGGGGCGCGTCTAGCACCTAGTAGGCGATGTTCAGCCAGCGGGGGGGGGGGCTTTTCGAATAGAGAGGGCTGTGAAGAAGGGGGACACGTATACTGGCCACAGCGAGTTTTGAATCAGCCTTGGGAGGGAAGTGTATGGCAGGCGAGGGTGTTGTGCAGCAGAGGGGGCCTGTGCAGGAGGAGGAGCACGTCTAGCACCGAGGACTTGTTTCTTGTCTACCAGCTTGGTGAGGGGCCATATCTAGCAAAGGGTGCCACGCAACATAGGGGGCCTGCGCAGGGGGGGGCACCTCCAGCACAAGGTGATTCATCAATCTCAGGTTTGGGGGGCATGTTCAACACAGGGTGCTGTGCAGAAGGAGGGTCACGTCTAATAGGGGATGGGGATGGGGCTGCCTAGCAGAGGGTGCTGTGCAGCGGCGGGGGGCGTGTGGGAGGAGGGGCGCGTCTAACACCGAGGAGCTATGTCTGTAACCCGCTTGGGGATGGGCCGTGTCCAACAGAGGGTGCTGTGCAGGAGGAGGGGCACGTCGAGCACAAAGGAGTTTTGACAAGGGGAGGGGCCCTGTCCGACAGAACGTGCTGTGAAGCAAAGAGGGAGTCGCAAATAACAGCAAATATGCATATATAACGCGTTTTAGCGTGACACCGGGCCGATCTTCTCGCCAGCTGCTGTGCTGGCTGAGCTGAAGGCCAAGATGTGGGTGGATCCCTGCCGTCGAGCCAATCTTAGGCGGGCCTTGCCTCGTTCCTCCCATGTCTGCACGGGCAAGGTGCCGATGGGCATCCGGGGTGCCAACATGGAGTCTCGGCACACGGACCGCCTCTCATCGGCCGCGTTTCGTGCGGCACGGCATCCTTCTCTCGGCACGGCGTCCTCCGACACATGCGCGCATCGGAAACCTGACCTGACAAAAGCGGGAAGCGAATATTCGAACGTTCGTTGCAGGTGTGGCATCACATGGGGACGTCAAAACTGGAACGCTTGTGCGAACAGGAGGGGGCTGCGCGGTGCCCGAATCAAGGATCCCTCGTAAAATATACGACGCTCGCGCTCCCGAGGCGCAGATCCCTCGTAAAGTACACGCGATCCGCGCCTCCGAGGCCACGACCCATTGCAAAGTACTCTGGGTTCATGCCTCGGCGACCAGGACCCACAGAAGTGCAGCCAGATTCACGCCCTGGAACCGCTATTACTTGTATTGTGCGCAAGCGGTCAGTTTCCACACGGCCCCCGCGTCCACCTTCAAGATCCCGAGCTATCCGCCGTCCCCTTGGGGTTCGGTCTGGCTGGCTTGCAGGGGGGGGGGATCCGGTTAAACGGGCTAAATCCCTCACCCCTCCCAGGAATGCCCAGGATGCCTCCGGCCGTCTCCGGCCACTCCCAAATGCTCCAAGACGGCCCATTATATTTTGAATACGACCGGAGATAACCCCAAGACGTTCCAAGAGGCCTGTAACATGAAGCCCTCTTGGATCCCTCTGGCGCCATTTGCGGGCCCTCTTGAGCTGTCTTGGGGCTGTGTAACCCGAATTCGGGATAAGGAGATGGAATACGAAGACGCCTACGGCGAATCACCGCCGCCCCCTGCCTTTTTGGAAGCGCCTATGTGGCCGAACGTTGAGGCCAGACCTGCCAAGCTATCGGACCACGTGTTCCCCGAATCGGTTTGGAAAGCCTTCGGGGAACACGTGGGCATCTTGAAGGTCATCTAGGCCGTCTTGGAGGCCTCTTGGGCAAGCTTTGGGCGATCTTTGGGGCTTTTTGGGCCGTCTCGGGCCAGCTTCGAGCCAACTTCGGCCATCTTGGTGGGTTCCTGGCACGTCTGAAGCCGTCGGAAGCCGTTTGGGGGGCCTCTATGGGCCGACTTGGGGCCCGCTTGGAATGCTCCAGGGCCGTCTTGGAGGCCATCTTGGGCGTCTGGGAGGCCATCTTGGGCGTGTTGGAGGCCTCTTGGGCCCTCTTGGGGCCCTCTAGGGGCCATCTTGGAGGCCACTTGGGCCATCATGGGGCTCTCTTGGGGGCCTCTTGGGCGATCTTGGGGGCTTCTTGGGCAGTCTTGAGCCGTCGGAGAGCCGAAAAGGCGCAAATGCCAAAATCCTTCAAAAACCAAGGGAAAATCAATGATTTTGGCCTCTTCGGACTCTCCTGGAGGACCTCTTGGAGGCCTCTTGGGCCGTCTGGGAGGCCTCTGGGGGGCCTCTTGGGCCGTCTTGGGCCGTCTTGGACTCTCTTGGGCCGTTTTGGAGGCCGTCTTGGACCGTCTTGGAGGCATCATAAGGCCATCTTAGCCGTCTTAGAGACCATCCTGGCCGTCTTAGAGGCATCTTGGAGGCCATCTTGGAACCGTCTGGGGCAGGAAATTGGGGAATTGAGCTCCTGGGCATCCTTTCCGGGTGGCCGGCGGGACGGGCCGAAGCCCACTGGGGAGTTCTTTTAGAAAAAGAACCAAAACCAAAACCTGACAGCTCATCCAGCACGCCGTGCACCCCTGCAAGCAGGGGGCGGCGGATCTAGTGACCTTCGGTCCATCCCGCCACCGTGCCGGGGTATTGAGAATGAGACGAAGTGAAAGTTCGTTGGGCTCCCTTGGGAGGCTTCTCGCGGGCCGTTTTGGGTCCTCTTGGGGCCTCTTTTGGGCCTCTTGGGGCCTTGGGGGCGTCTTGGGGGCCTCTCGGGGGCCTCTTGGGACCTCTTGGGGGCCTTCTGGGGCCTCCTAGGGCCGTCTTTGGGCGGGATGCTCCGATTTTCGATTCGGGCTCTCCCTCTTGGGCCCCTCTTGGGGCCCTCGTGGGCCTTCTTGGGAGCCTCTTGGGCCGTCTTGGCGCCCTCTTCGGCCGTCTTGGGCGCCTCTGGAGAGTCTCTTGGGCCGTCGCGGGTCGGTCTTGGGGGACTCTTGGACCGTCTTCGACGCCGTGAAGACGAGAAAATCGTATACACTAAAAAAATCAGTTTTCCATAGGAGTTTGACGATTTTGGCCTCTTGGGCCCTCCTGGGAGTGCTCTTGGAGGCCTCTGGGGCCGTCATGCGGGCCCTCTAGAGCCGTACTGTGGCCTTCTAGGGACCCTCTTGGGCGCTCCAAGAGCGATCTGAACACAAAGGCGGCCTGGAGCCAACGCCAACTCCATTTTTTAGAGGATGCCCCGAGCGAAACGGCCAACTTAGAAACCTGATCGGACAAGAACGGGAAGCGCCGCTGTAGTCTAATCGGCGTATTGGGCGAAGAAGGAAAGGAAGGCGAGGACAACGAGGAGACGATGACAAGGACGATGTGGCGAACGTGAGGCTAGCGAGGAGGAGCATGAGGACAACGAGGAGGAAGAGAAGCACAAGGACGAGGACGAAGAGAACGAGGGCGAGTACGAGGAGGAATGCGGAGGGCGATGATGACGACGACGACGACGACGACGACGACGACGACGACAGAGGACAGTTCGAGGCAATTGGAAAAAAACGTTGCTCCTGGCGCAGCGCGGGGTTCTCTTGGGGCCTGTTGGGGGCTTCTTGGGGGCCCCTTGGGTCCTCTTATGGGCTTCTGGGGTCTTCTTGGGCTGTCTGGGCGCGTCGTAGGGTTCTGTGGGAGCTTTCTTAGGCCGTCTCATCCGCCAACGCCCGTCCGAGATGCAGCCCCGAGCCTCATAGAAAGGTTTTTCGTTAAGAAAAACGGTCCACGCTCCTCGTTCCTCGTTCGCGCTTCCCGTCATCCGCCAACCCTGTCGGCGCGTATGCTAGGTTGTTCCGTTTGGATCGCCTTCGTCGTCCCCGCCCCCCTCCCTTGACGCCTTTCCGTTTGAGTCGTCGCTGTCGTCGCCGCCGCTCCCCAGCCAGATCGGAGCGCAGGGCACGCAGGGCACTCCGAGAGGATAGCTCTCAGCGCGTGGCCTGCGGGGCTGTGAAGGCTGCACGACCTCGACGCGAACAGCAGGGGACGGCGACGCGGGCATCGCATCCCCCAGGCAGGTGCCGCACAGAGGTGAGGACGGCGGGAGCCCCTTCGAGGGAGAAACAGAGAACACCGATTAGCGCCTTGCCCGAAGCCGCTCAAACCATCCACCTCCTCCGCGAGCCTCCGCCCTCGCCCCACACGCGCTCCCGGCGGCTCGCGAGAGCGCTGGGGAGGAAGAGGGGGGGCGAGGGAGGGAGGCGATGAGAGGGATCCTCCTTCGTCTCCTCCTCTGCCTTGTCGCCCTCTCCTACTCTTGCTCCTCCCCCCCCGGGAGGCCGCGGGCATCCCCCCCCGCCGCGAGAGCGCCTTCTCGGCGGCGGTAATGGCACGGGACTCGACCTCCATGTTGGGCTTCGGGATCGGGATGATCTCCTCCAGCGCGGCGACATCGTCGTCGTCGTCGTCAACGTCATCGTCGTCGGGTCTGGTTGAGCGGAGTAGCAATGAAGGAGGACGTCTTCCCCCTCCTATGTCTCATCAGTTTCCTCGTCCGCGTCGTCCTCCTCCACCTCCTCATCCTCATCCTCCTAATCCTCATCATCATCCTCATCATCATCATTACCTGCATCATCGTCATCATCATCCTCATCATCATCATCAACAACATCATGATCATCATCATCATCAGCAGCAGCATCATCACCATCATCGTCATCATATCAGCAGCAGCAGCATCACCATCAGCATCAGCATGAGCATCATCATCAGCAGCATCAGCATCAGCATCATCATCACATCACCATTATCATTATCATCCTTCCTTTTTCTTCTCAAATGCCAGTCGGAAGGGCGGGCCGGGCATTTCGCCTGAGACATACCCGAAAGCTCAAACATTGCAACAGTTGTATGGATGAAGAGCTGGTCGCTTCCAAAAAGTGGCTCTAGCGCCGCGCACATCTGTCATACAGAAATGCAAGAGCTTCACGGATTGAGGACAAGTGATTTCCAGATTGTGGCTCTTGCCTTAGCGCCGCGCAAAATCGTCCTTAAAACATGCAAGAACGTCACGGATGGAAGGCGGTTCCTCTTAAAAAAGGGCTCTCGCCTTAGCGCCGCGCACATTCGTCATACAAAAATGCATGAGCTTCACGGATTAAGGGCGGTTCCTCTTCAAAATGTGGTTTTCGCCTTAGCGCCGCGAACATGCGTCATTAAAAAATGCAAGAGGTTCACAAATGGACGGCGGCTCGTTTTCAAAGTGTGGCTCTCGCCATAGCGCCGCGCACATTCGTTTACGAGTTTACAAAATTTCAAAGGTTACCATGACCAACGTCCCACACATGGCGTTTGGGCACGATGACGGACTGTCAAGGCGCGACAGTTACATTGATTCGTGGTGATGAAGTCCCAGAAATGGTGTTATGGCACGCTTCAATATCCTCAAGACACAACAGCACTGGTGCTTCGCGGCCTTGAAGCCCCAGGAATCGCGTTTTGGCACAATTCAGGATCTTAGGACGGTTGTCGTCCAACGAGTCCCCGTTCTTCCTTTGAAAATAAGTCCCTGCAGGGGACCTACAAAGAGGGAGCCTAGAAGGAGAGACCGCCCCCCCCCCAGGTTCCCGGCGGGTCCTGGGGGGGTCGCCAGCGGGGGTCCTTAGAGGGGTCCCGCTTTCAGGGACGGCGGCACCCGCCGTAAGGCCGTCTACTTCCGCCACCGTGCCCTGAGGCACGAATTGGAATGTCATCAGGTAAAGGTTGCAAAGAGGTAGGCGTTCTGGTGGCCTTGCCTCTGCCGGCGCGCGAGGTGGCGCGCAGCCCTTACTTGGAACGCCATCAGGTCCCATCGGGCGCTCTGTACTGAATTATGTAAACAATCTCTCTTTGAAGGGCACACAGCCCGGAAATCCTGGTGCTCGCGCGCGCTCCTGGGCGCTGTTTGGGGGTCCCCGCGTGACTCTTCGAGAGGCCAAGAGCGCGTTGTTCGGGCCGTGCATTCCTAGAGCCCTCTTGGGCGCCTCTTGTGCCGTCTTGGAGGACTTGAAAAGCGGCCCATGAGAACAAAATCGTCAAACCAATTGTTTTGGTATAGTTTTTGAATTATCGCCTGTTCGGTCTTCAGAGCGTGGAAGACGGCCCAAGAGGCACTCAAAATCACCTCGACTGACAGTTTGAGCCCTCCGCCCCAAGATGGCTCCGAGATCCCCCCCTGAGCCCCCGAGGCGCGCACAAGAGGCCCCAAGAGGCCCCCGACACCGAGAGGCCCTGATCAGACCCTAAGAGGATTCTCAGCGGCCCCGAGACACCCCAAAAACCGCGTCCAAGAGGCATCCGAGAGGCACCCCAAGACATCGTCACGGACATCCAGGAGGCCTCTGACCTACAACCCAGGCACGATGGCAGGATGGGCCAAAAAGGCCGCTAGATCTGCCGCCCCCCGTGGTCGTGCCAGAGGTACACGACGTGCCGAACGCCTGGCAGGTGTTTGGTTCCCTTTTGAAGAACTCCCAATAGGGGTCTCGACCCAACCCGCCCGCCACCCGGAAAGCTCTTCTGAAGGTGCGAGGCAAGGGTTTTTCCGCTCCCGGAGGCCCCAAGATGACCCAACATGGCAACCAAGACGGCCAAGATGGCCACCAAGACGGCAAAGATGGCCTCCAAGACGAGGGTCCACGATGCCTCCGAATCCGTCCAAGAAGACATCAAGACGGCCCAAGATAGCTCCAAGATGGCTCAAGACGGCCCAAAAGACCTCCAAGAGGCCTCCAAAACGTCTCAAGAGGCCTCCAAGAGGTTCTCAGGAAGGCCCGAAGAAGCCAAAGTCCTTGAATGTCCTTTGGTTTTCGAAGGATTTTGGTATTTGTTTCTTTGCGGCCTTCCGACGGCTCAAAACGGCCCAAGAGGCCCCAAGATCGCCCCAAGATCGCCCAAAAGGCCCTCAAGATGGCCCCAAGAACAGCCCGAGAGGCCCACAGACTGCCCCAAGAGGGTCCCAAGAGGCTTTCAATTCGCCAAATATGGCCTCTAAGACGGCCCTGATGCGCCCCGAGAGGGCCCGAAGCCCGTTCAGAGAGGCCCTCGAGACAGCTTCCGACGGCGCCAGACGGGCCAGGAACGCCCCAAGGCGGCCAAAGAGGCCCCCGAGAAGCCCAGAGGCTCCCTAGAGGCCCCCAGGAAGCTCCCAGGAGGGCCCAAGGTGCCGCACGAGGCTCCCAACAGACTTCCTCCTCATTCTAAATGTTCCTCCAAGTCTTCCTCTTCCTCTTGTGAGGGGGCCACAAGCGAGCCCTACCCCTACCCCCAAGATTTCTGAGCGGGAGCTCCCGAACGAAGTAAACCCCACCCTGTCCGCTCAGAAATCGTGGGGCCCCCTTATCTGTTTCCTCCAAGAGTTCCCCCAAGCGTTTCCACAGCGGCTCGGGAAACGCATGGTCCAACAGCTTGCCCAAGCTCTGGACACGAAGCTGGGCCACATCGACACGTCCACAAGGGCAAGGGGGTGGCGGTGGCTCGCCGTGGGCGTCTTCAATAACATAACCAGGTTCGGAACGATAGCAAGCGTGAGAACTCGCACAGGCAAATCTTAGGATGATAGTACAGCTCATCATATAGAAAGCGCACACTCAGTAGAACGTGTATACGTACACGACAAAAACCCCGAATGCATGTGCATATATACATACAAAAGTAGATTCTCGGATTGATCGAACTCAATAAGACTGATGTCCTCCTCCTCGTCGTCGTCGCACTTCTCCCGTTCCTCGAAACCGGCCCCGGCCCTCTCCTGGAGCTCGCTCTGGCCGGGGAGCTCGAAGCGGACGCAGCCGCGGCGACGAGAAGGCCACACGAGGGCCCAAAGAGCAGGAAGAGAAGCAAGAGGAGACCCTCCTCGTCCTCCCCCCCTCCCCCACGCGCACGCTTGTGCTTCGCGGTCGCGGCCACGCGCGCAGCAGCGGGGCGAGGCAGGCCAGAAGCGCGGCGAGCGGGGCCGCGCGCGCGTCGGCCGCCGACCAAGGCCGCACGGCATGTCGCGTGGGCGAGGGAGGGCAGGGAGAAAGCGAGGAGACCCCTTCACACCCCCACGCACACACCCACACACACACACACCCACACACACACACACACACGCAAACACACACACACACACACACACACACACACGCACACACACACACACACACAAGAACTCCTTGAGGGTGTTCTGCGCGACGTTCTGGAGCTCCTGCGCCCGCGCTCGGGGCCCGCGCGCGCCAGACGCCACCGACACCTCCGCCGCCGCCCGTTGTTGCCGCCGCCCGCCTTGGCTGCTGCCCGTCTCCGCCGCCGCCTCCACCGCCGTAGTCGCCGCCGCGAACGTGCCACCGCTGCCATTACCGCCGCCACCTCTTTTTCGAAAGGGGTCGCCATCATCATCATCATCATCATCATCATCATCATCATCATCATCATCATCATCATCAGCAGCAGCAGCAGCAGCATCATCAGCATCATCAGCATCATCATCATCATGTGCATAAGCATAATCATGATAATCATGACCAGCATCACCATCATCATGGTCAGCAGCTGCACCACCACCACAGCCATAATCGTCATCACCATCAGAATAATCATCATAATCATCATCATCATCATCATCATCATCATCATCAGCATCATCATCATCATCGTCATCGTCATAGTCATCATCATCGTCATCGTCATCGTCATCGTCGTCGTCATCGTCGTCGCCCGCATCATCATCATCAGCATGAGCATCATCATCATCATCATCATCATCATCATCATCATCATCATCATCATCATCATCAACAGCATCATCAGCATCATCTTGATCAGCATGGTCATCACCATCATCAGCATCATCAACAGCATAATCATCAAGATCAGATGCATCAGTATCATCAGCATCATTATCAGCAGCAGCATCACCATCATTATCATCTGCATCATCAGCACCGCCACCAGCATCATCATCATCCACAGCATCATCATATCATCATCAGCATCATCAGCAGCAGCACCATCAGCATCACCATCATCATCACCATCATCATCACCAGCATCATCGTAATCGTCATCATCATGATCATCAGCATCATCATCAGCAGCAACAGCAGTATCAGTACCAGTATCAGCACTACTATCAGCATCATCATCATGGATCAGCATCATCGTCAGCACCATCACCATTATCGGATCATCAGCATCATCAGCATCAGCATAATCATCATCAACATCAACATAATCAACATCATCATCATCATCATCATCATCATCACAACCGTCATCATCATATCATCAGCATCAGCATCATCATCGTCATTGTCGTGATCAACAACTTCGTCGTTACTATCGTTACCATCATCACATTTCAACATGAGCACAATCGTCGTTTTCGCCGTCGTGAGTATCAACGCCCCGCATCGACGACATGCTCATTGCCAGCAGCCACGTAACCAACATCAGCATGGTCGTGCTCACAACCATCATCAACAGCATCGTATCCCTTATCACCCTCTGAACTCCAACATCATCGACATTGCCATCATCGTTGACAATACCCATACTGTCATCATCAACGTCGTAATCATTATCGTTGCCGCCAACACCAGCATCCAGCATTATCATCGTGGACGTCATTGGCGTCGTCGCCAAAGTCATCAAGATCATCACCGTCACCATGGCCCTCATCATCGTCATCATCTCCGTCATCGTCGCACTGATCGTGCTCGTCATCGTGGCCACTGCCTCAACCCTCAACCACCATCACCATCATCCATATCATCATCGCCCTCCTCCACGTCGTCGGCGCCGTCGCCCATCATCAGCACCATCAGCAAAATCATTGAAAGGGGCCCTGGGACACAAATCGATAGACAGAAATTACAAGATTCCCCACATGTCCCCCATATTCTCTGGGCGTTTGTCTTCCCCCCCACCTCCCTGTGCGGGTGTTTTCTGGGGAATCGACGGTTAACTGTGTCTGTGTGCTCTCCTCCCTCCTGAATCGTCCTCGTCGCCGTCATCCTCAGCAGCAGCACCACTTCCGTCACCACCGCCACCGCCACCACGCAGGTGCACCACACCGCAATGAGGGGTGGGGCGGCCTGGGCGTGCGCCCCCCACCAGTCAGTGGGACCCCCGGAGGAGCAGAGGTCCACCTGCGCACGCTCGCCTCCGAGCATTCCCTCCTCCTCCATCTCCTCCTCCTCCTCCTCGTCCTCCTCCTCCTGTTCCTCCTCCTCATCCTCCTTATCGTCCTCCTTATCCTGCTCCTCCTCCCCTCCTCCTCCTCCGCCTCATCCTCCGCCTTGCGTAGTCGACCTCCCTTCTCCTCCCCCTCCTCCTCCTCCTCCTTCTCTTATGTTTTTCCTCCTCCTCCTCCTCATCCTCCTCCTCGTCATAGTCATCATCATCATCATCATCATCATCATCATCATCATCATCATCATCATCATCATCATCATCATCATCATCATCATCATCATCATCATCATCATCATCATCATCATCATGTAGCAGGTCTCCGGATGTTCTCCCATAGGTTTAGCAAACAGTATGCAAGCCCAGGTTTCATGCTCGGCATTGCGTGTTGAGTCCGAGCCTTGAATGTACGCTCGGTACCCACTGTGGCTCAAGGGTTAAAACATATGTCCCCTCCCATGCTGCCACAATTGGCAGCGGAGCGACGTTCCGCCCGCGGCCATGGGCGACGGCTGGGCTCGGTAGCTCGCAGGACCTGCTGGGCGGCCGACCACGGCTGTGCACTCGAGTGCCTTTTGTTTTTTCCAGCGCGACGCAAACCCCGCTCAGATGATGAATCCTCTGGCCAGCCTGCGTCAGATCACAAATGGCAGTGCTCCCGAACGACGTTGCGCCAGGAAAGCTGGAACGTCAACTGAAGCGAACCTGGGCGAGCTTCGCTCCCCCGAGCTAGGCAGTGTGGATCCACGGCAGAGTCGTGCACTCCGACGGCGCCGACGAGGCCAAGGACGGCAAGGGAGAGACGCACGCGGCGAGGAACGGCGAGGGCTCCACGGCTGCTGCCGCGGGCAGCGGGCCCAACGCCACCACTGGCCTGTCCAGGGAAGAGCTGGCTGAGCTGATCGAGGGCACAGTGACCGACACTGATGAAGGGGCCCAAGGACACACAAATAAATACACACAAATAAAAAGATTCCCCGTATTTTCCCATATTTTCTGGGTTTCTGTCTTCCCGCCCACTTCCCATATTTTCCTATATTTTCTGAGATCGAGGGTTAATTGTGTCTGCGTGTTTCTTTTTCTCCTGAACTATGAGGTCAGCCACGTCAGCCAAGCAGATGGAGACAGCCAGACCGCCGACCCCTGGACCGAGGGTCGGAAGACGGCAGCCGCAGCCAGCTCCAGTGGCGAGAGGGACGTTCCCACGGCGCCAGGGGCAGCAGGAGAGTGGAGCGGGCGCGACGGATGGGCCCGGGCGGGAGACGCCTGGGGCTCCGGCGACGGCTGGAGCGAGAGCTGGGGCTACGGCGGCGGCGGCGGCTGGGGCGGCCGCGGCGATTACGGTGACCCGCCGGCGTGGCCTGGCTGGACCCACTACAGATCGTGGAAGAAGGCACTGAGACGGCGGAACAAGAATACGGCGTGTGCCCGCGTGGCGCAGATCGGAAAAAGTTTCGCAAGCTCTTCGATTGGACGTTTCAATCGAAGTTCGAGAACCTGCCCGAGTGGTCTCACGATCGAGACGGTGTTGAGCCCAATGGACATGATGGTAGGAGAGAGAGAGAGAGAGAGAGGGAGAAAGAGAGAGAGAGAGAGAGAGAAAAACAAAAAAACAAAAAAGACTTGAGAAGGTCGGGCTGGAAGGCCTTCTTCGAGGCAACTCGTGACTCCGAGGAGAGCCTCACCCAGTTCGTGACGAGGAGAGAAGCTCAGCTTCTAGAGGCTGAGGGTGACGACCTGTGGATTTCCGAGAAGCTAGAGGGTCTTCTACTTGAGGAGGGCGCAGGTCTGACCCCGCAAGATATGCAGAATTTGCGCACCCTCACCGAAGGCAAGCTGGACTTCTGCCACGTGTCCTGGGCGTTGGGGCAGATAGGCGCCGGGGGATCGGAGCACCTGCTCCCGGGACGGACGGCGACCGGCACCATGCTAGCTTCGAGTACTGAGGGCCTAGGCCCAGCTCGAGATAGAGCCACTCGCTCGCAGCCTCTCCCCTCTTTCCCTGCTCTGGTCGGTCATCGGTCGGTGAAACCCATGGCGAGCCGGACAAGGACTTCTGCGACGACGGCGGGTCCGAGGCCGAGGGGGACGAGGACTCAGACGTGGACACCTTGCTGGCCGAGATCGACGTGGACGCTTTGTTGGCCGAGATAGTAGATCAGGCCCTAGCACTGGCGGAGACGCGTCTAGGCAACCGCACCTGGAAGCAGAACAAGGAGATCAAGCGAGCAGCCAAGGGAGACCGAGAATACTTTGTCTCCCGTCCTCAGCGAGACGCGAGCGCCCGCGGCCCAAGGGCAGCCAAGCCCTCGGGCTCAGGTCCGCCCCAAACTGGCGCGAGACCTGGAGACCGGCGTCCCCGTCGACAGAAGCTTCCGCCAGAGCAGCTCATGAAGATCACGAGGTGTCGAAGTGCGCGGAGAAGGGCCACTGGAAGAACGAGTGTCCAAATCCTGCCCAGGAGGAGCCGCGTGAGCTGGCGAGAGAGAAGCCGCACGACCGACAGAGGCTGTCATCCTACGTGTTCGAGGGCTGCACGTTCGAGGGCGTCGGGGCCAGCTTCGGGGCAAGGGAGAACGTGCAGGGGGAGATCGACGCCGAGACTGGGGACCGTGCTGATCACCGCGAACGCGACGCAGGGTCTGGTCGATCCCAGGGCAGGCAGCGACTTGGTGGGTCTGCAGGCGCTGAACCAGAAGTCTCGGGCCCTGGCGGAGCAAAACCTCAGGTACGTAGAGATTTCCATCGAGCAGCTGCCCAAAAACTCCATTCACGGCGTGGGGGGGCCCGTCAGGGTCGTGAGCGTCCTCCTGTTTCCCATGTGCCTCGGTGGGGTCCTCGGGATCATCGAGACAACCGTGCTGGCCGACGACGTTCCTCAAATCGTGAGCGACAATATCTTACCTTTCCTGGCATGCGTGATTGCCCTGCCTCGCAATCTTCTCAGCTGAGACACGCTCGGCCAGACGATCAGCCTCACGAAGCTGGGGTCGGGTCCCTGGATGGTGGACATCG